ATTCTCATTTTAGTAGGGTTTGAGGAGGAAGGGCTGATAAGTGTGTGCCCAATCTCCTGTGTACCCACTGTCTACTGTAAAGAAATGGAAACAGGAAATCATTTTTAAAATTATATTACGGGTTGGGCATGGTGGCTTACTCCTATAATCACAGCACTTTGGGAGACTGAAGGAGGAAGATTACTTGAGCCCAAGAGTTAGAAGCCAGCCTGGGTAAAGGTAAAGAGGGAGTATTGAGAGTCACTCTTTACAAAAAAATGAAAAAGTTTTCCGTTAGTGGTGGTGTGTACCTGGGGTGGCTGAGGTAGCAGAATCTCCTGAGCACAGGAAGTGGAGGCTGCAGTGGGCTTTAATCGTGTCGTTGCACTCCAGCCTGGGTGACATTGTGAGACTCTGTCTCAAAAAAACTAATGTTGTAATGTGGATGATGCAAAGAGAGACTGGAACTCTACTCAGAGTCCCATTGTAAGCTTGGTCCTGCACTAAGAACTTGGTGAATCAATAAATGTACAGTTACATATTTAGGTCAAAATAATTTGCTTGAGTTAATATGTGTGTATGAGTCTTATTATTTTTTTCACAATTTACCATTTTTATTGGGCCTTTCAATTAATCAGTCTATTCTGTTCCTGTGATGTAAAACACAGTCTCCTTTTACCCTATAACTTTTATTTGATAGCAGACAGTGGTTGTCTGGATAAGAGGAATTTGGAAGTCCAGGACAGTGAATTATGTCTTCCATATTTTTGAGACAGGGTCTCACTATGTCACCCAGGCTAGAGTACAGTGGCACAGTCATGGCTCACTGCAGCCTCCACCTCCTTGGCTCAAACGATCCTCCGACCTCAGTCTCCTGCATAGCTGGGACCACAGGTGTGCATCACCATGTCTGGCTAACTTTGTTCATTTTTTGTAGAGACAGAGTTCCACTATGTTGCCCAGGCTAGTCTCAAGTGACCCTCCCACCTTGGCCTCCCAAAGTGGTGGGATTACAGGCATGAGCCAACATACCCAGTCATGTCTTCCTCTTTTCCAGGTGACTGAATAGCTAAGTTATCTGTGGAGGTGGACTGAATCTAGAAGGTGATAGCTCTCAGTCCTCTCTTTTTCAATTGTTCATTAATTCTTTCAACAAACGTGTTGCTGCATGCCCTGGTGCGTATCCCTGTGGGAATGCACAACCATTGGCTTAATTCATGTGGATGTCTCCTGATTATTCACAAGCATAAAAGGGACATAGTTACCAGGCATAGTGGCTCACACCTGTAATCCCACTTGGGAGGCTAAGGCGGGAGAATTGCTTGAGGCCAGGAGTTTGAGACCAGTCTGGGCAACACAGTGAGAACCCCATCTCTAAAAAAGTTAAAAGCAAACAAACAAACAAAAAAACTTAGCCAGGTTGTGGTGGTTCCTGCCTGTAGTCCCAGCTACTTGGGAGGCTGAGGCAGGAGGATCACTCGAGCCAAGGAGTTGGAGGCTGCAGTGAGCCATGATTGTGCCACTGCACTCCAGCTTGTGTGACAGAGTGAGACTCTGTGTCTAAAAAAAAGGAGACATAGTTGTGATGAATTTATTTTTTCTACTTTTTGTCTGAAGGTAAAAATGAGTCTTTGTTCTCTTAATTTTTGTTGGGGGGCAACCACTCATGTCAAACAGTGGTGGTAAGGGGAGTAAAATTTTATGCAAAGGGCTAAATATGCTGTAAAAATTGCCTTTTCTGTGAGTGGGGTCATTTGAAACACTTTAATAAAAATAAAATACAGTGGTTCATAGTCGTTATTAGAATCAAGAACTCCACATAATTTTAATCAACATTCAGAATACCTTATTGTACAGCAAGATTTAGCAATGTTGCAGGCCTAAGGGAAGGTTCTCTGCATTCCTTTTCAGGTTTTAAGCTTTCATATTTTAGTCCTAGAGACGCAGTCTTACCAAAGCAGGAGGAAGAAACAGCTTGCTGAATGATATATGGCCAGACCCCTTTCTGGATCCTACTCTTCTCAATTCTGAGAAGAAGTCATTTGGAAGAACGACTTTTCTTGGAAGAGCATAGTTCATTAGTATCCAAACAGTTACCAAGTTTTTTGTTTTTGTTTCTTTAGGCAGAATTTCACTTCACTGGCCTGGCTGGAGGGCAGTGGCACACAGCTCACTGCCGCCTCCATCTCCATGGCTCAATTGATCCTCCCACCACAGCCTCCTGAGTAGTTGGGACTACAGGTGTGCCAACAAGCCTGGCTAATTTTTCTATTTTTTGTAGAGATGGAGTCTTGCCATTTTGCCCAGGTTGGTCCTGAACTCCTGGACTCAAACAATCCTCTAATCTTGGCCTCCCAAAATGCTGGGATTATAGGTGTGAACCATCACACCTAGTAACAACTAGCAGTTTTATCTGACAAAGAAACTCAGCCCCAAATGATCTGGCCTGAAGTTGTTTTTGACATGGAGCTTCCTCACTGCCACACAAGGGACTAAAGGAACTCTCTACCACATTCTATATGTGTGTCTTATGCTAGGATTAAGAGGATTCATGTGCATAAGAGCTGTCATTTGTCAAAACCTTTCTTTCTCCCTCCAGTTCTCCACCCTCTGCACAAGATACTGTCCCGGTCAAGGACGGGAGGGAGGAGTCTGCAAACAGTGCCTGTAAAGAGGCTCAGGCTTGTGGAGAAGTGATGGATGTTGTTGGAGCAAAGTCTGGCAGGATGGACTGAAAATGTGGAAACCAGGCCTAGGGAGGGTGTGAAGGACAAGAGGATCAGAATCAAACACTGGAGAGGGAGGAGAAGAGGCTGGGGGCACGATGGAGGTGTGGAAGCCCAAGGAAGAGGGGATGACCCGCACATGGAAGGAGCCAGGGTTTTCTTGGCAGTATTTTGTGTATGCCTATCCTTTTATTTTATTTTTTAGTGGCAGACTTCTGAGAAATAAGAAAATAAGGGTTGAGTATGGTTCCCATAATAGTGGGAACTCACAGTACCTTTCAGAAGCTTATAATTGATTTTCCCATCTTTGTTTTCCCGAGCCTGACAGTTCAGACCTGGAGGCTTTGTGCCTGAGAAGGGGAGGGGAGAGAAGCTCTACTAGTCCATCATTCGAGCTACAGCCCAGGCTTGTTAGCATCTGAGCAGCCAGAAGGATCTATCCCTAGAAGCATCCTCCCTGTCTTCTTCCTGGAACTCCCCAAGGAGTGAGGACCTCGGGGAGGGAGGAGATGGCGTAGTTGAAAGAAGTATTATTAACAGTCAGGGAAAATCAGCCACATTTCAGAAAATGTAAACATTCCATTTTTTATAGACTTAGTGCCCACTGCTCCCTACCCCCTGCCAAATTCTGGTTATAGACTAACAGTTGCTGTTGGATGCTTATAAAAAATAACCCCGTTTCCCAGATGAGCCTAACTTGGGCTCACACTAACTTGGGCTGGGTACATATTGATAAATTTCTTCCTTTTTCTCCCTTATGTTTTGTCTGGAGGTAAAAATGTATCTTCATTCTCCTAATTTTGGGTTAGCTTCTACTGCAAGACTTTCTGGCCTGAAGAAAGTTCTTCCACATGGGTGTAGTTGTGAACATAGTGTAGCTCCAGGATTTTGTTCTGCATAGTGAGGAGTAGTGGAAACCATGAGGCTACCGCAGGTGGGGGACTTGGCAGAGAGAGGAGCATATGGGTTTGACAGCAGAAATAGATGTCACCATCTGGCACACAGGTCCCTCAGATGATTGCATTACCTTCGTGTCCTGCCCGTATCCAGGTTGCGTGTGGACGGCATTTAAGATATATTTGCTTATTTTATTTTATTTTTTTTAGTGACATAGTCCTGGTTTTAAGCAAATAGAGATAGAAGGTGATGTGCTCTGTTAGGGGTGTCTGCCAAGGCAGAGCTCACAGTAGAGGGAGAAGTTTCTGAGAATAGATTACCTCTGTTATGATTACTTGGATGGGAGCTGGGCTGTTTCCCATTAGAAGAGGCAGAATACAAGCCCCAGGGAAGAGCCAATCAGTGTGCCAGCTGCGAAAGCGCAAGGAGGATTCATTCCTGGATGAGAGGTGACTTAGCAGAGAGATTTCCTAGAGCTGGATGAGAGGTGACTCAGCAGAGAGATTTCCTAGAGACACCTCCTGCCTCCCTCTTGGATGACATTTGAATCAGAATTCTAGACATACAGCTTGTTAAGCGTTTAGTGATCAATTTTTGTGCAGGACTGGACTGTAAATGCCAGGCTATGACAGTTTGGAATATGGTCAGGTAAGCCAGATATGTTTTGATTATCTTGTTAGATTTAAAAATCTGGAATCTTGATGGCTATGAACTTTCAGAATCTTACTGGGGATTATGGAATTATAGAGACACAGGGCAAATGAGATAAATGGATTTTTCTTTCATATTTTTGTTGTTGTTTAGTTCATGTGGTCACTTTATTCAGTGGCATGTCCCATGTAGACTTCTTACATCTACCATCAGCTATGAAATCATGCCTGGATTCCAGTAACAGGATGACATTTCATCAAATGCTGGAAGTCATCATTATTTGAACTAGAACAACCTATTTCTTAAAATGCCTAGTAAGACAAAATCTGGAAACAAACCCCCGGGCTGGAACGCCTTAACAAAAACGGGACATCTTTGCTGCAGTAGGTTGCAGTGTCACTTACCTGGAGAAGAAGGTGCCTTTGTTCACCCCAGGATGCCCTGTCTGTGGGTTAAAGAATGGTGCTGTTCCCTTTGGGTCAGAATGGTGCTGGCCACTCCCCTACTATCTTTTCCTCCCAAGCTGGATTCAGTGCTTCATGCTGGATTTTTGGCATGCTGGATTGAGTGATGGGGCAGGGATATGTTTGGAATTGGAGGAAACTCTGGACACCTCTTCAGCTCTACTGTTTAGACAGCAGCTGGCTGGAGTGGCCTCCAAGTCAGTATCATCCATTCTTGAGACTCGAGGCAATCCCACTTCTGCTGATCATCATCCAGAATTCCATGTCCCCTTCTCTTCTCCAGATCCATGAGAAAGAAGAGGAAGAGTTCAATGAGAAGAGTGAAAATGATTCTGGTATCAATGAGGAGCCTCTGCTCACAGCAGATCAGGTATGAGTATCTCTCCAGGTTATTGGAACCTCTTATTCTTTTGATGGAGAAAAAGTTTTGGAGAATATACTTGCCACATCCATTTAAGGCAGAAGGAAGAAATGTGGTCATGTGGTGCCTGTGCTGATGACTCACAGTATATTTTTTCTTTATATATATTTTTTGAGACAGAAAATACTCTGTTGCACAAGCTGGAGTGCAGTGGCTTGATCTTGGCTCACTGTGACCTTCACCTCCTGATTTCAAGTGATTCTCATACCTCAGCCTCCTAAGTAGCTGAAACTACAGGCACATGCCACCATGCCAGGCTAATTTAAAATAAAAATTTTTTGGTAGAGATGTGGCTTTCACTATGTTGGCCAGGCTGGTCTTGAACTCCTAACCTCAAGTGATCCATCTGCCTCAGCCTCCCAAAGTGCTGGGATTACAGGTGTGAGCCACCACCCCTGGCTTTTTTTTTTTTTTTTTTTTTTTCATTTTGAGACAGGATCTCACCCTGTCAGCCAGACTGGAGTGCAGTGGCACAATCATGGCTTACTGCAGCCTCAACCTTCCTGGCTCAAGCTCCTCCCACCTCAGGCCCCTATGTAGCTGGGACTACAGGTGTGTACCACCCTGCCCAGCTAATTTTATTTTTAGTGGAGATGAGGTTTCACCATGCTGCCCAGGCTGGTCTCAAACTCCTGAACTCAAGTGATCCACCTGCCTTGGCCTCCCAAAATGGTGGAATTATAGGCATGAGCCATAGTGCCTGTCCAACTAACTCAGAGTATTTTTGATAAGGGATTTCATTTCTCTTTCTGCCTTAGGTTACCCACCTGCAGTGAACATGAACATCATTCTTGACACTCGGGATTGTTGGGGTCAGTCTCTGATAGTAGCCAGAGACAGGTGTAGTGTTTAATAGCTTTGATTACTGCTAAACCTTCTTATTGTAATTCGTTGAACTTGGAGTCAAGATGTGTAAACAAGGGTCCCAAATAACTGTTTTTCCAAAAAGAGAAGTGACAGATGAGGCTTCTGTGTGATGAATATTTTCTTAGGTTTCATAGAACACTCAAAATTTTGAGCCTTCGAAAAGGAGTCTTAGAGCCACTTCGACTTTGTGAAAAAAGATAGAGTGTTTCGCATCCAGTTGAGATCATCATAGCTTTAATAATTTATTACTTAGGGAGGATAATGTTCTGTTTCTGGATTCCTTATTCAGTGTTTTAGTCAACAAATCTTTATGGGTGCTTATTTTGCGCTAAACGCTACACAAGTTTCCACAAAGTCATTCCGCAAAGCTCCACTGGGAGTCTTCAGTGCCAGAAAGTGCTTTTTCCTATCTGTGATTTAAAAAAAGGTGGGAACTGAAACAGGTGAGGATTAGGAGACTGAAGAAAACCAGATTTAAAAAAATAGGGGCCAATAGCTATTCTTATGAATGGTAGAAGGAACTACAATTCAATGATATGAACTCAATTATAACTACTCTTAGAGAAAGGGAAATTCAGCCATAAGATCTTCACGGGGGTTTGCGTCATTTGGTTGCATTCTGTAAAATGACTTCCAGTAGTCAAAGACCAGGTATCTCCTAAGTTTGTGAGTAGAGATGAAAAGGTTTGGGAATAAGAACAGAAATTATTCTAAAGAAGGAGACCCTGAAGCCCCTTACCTTTGGTCCAGCCCATTGTGTAAAAACCCACCTCAAAGACTACAGTACCGGCCTTGGGGATTTAGTCCATCTACAGAGGACAGACAAGGTTAAGGTTGGGACTGAACTCATCTAAAGACCTGCTTTCAGCAGCAGTCTTCTTTATTTATAAATAATTAATGTACAAAGTAATTCACCTTTTTTTTTTTTTTTTTTTTTTTGAGACAGGATCTGGCTCTGTTGCTCAGGCTGGAGTCCAGTGGCCCAAACTCAGTTCACTGCAATCCCCGCCTCCTGGGCTTAAACCATCCTCCTACCTCAGCCTCCCAGATAGCTGGGACTACAGACACACATCACCATGACTGGCCAATTTTTGACTGACCCCAACAGGGTTCTCACCATGTTGCTCAGGTTGGTCTTGGACTCCTGAGCTCAAGTGACCCACTTACCTTGGTCTCCCAAAGTGGTGGGATTCTAGGCATGAGCCACCGTGCCCACCTAGTAACTCGCTTTTATTCCTTTTGGCAGATATCTAATTTTCCCTCCACTTCTGAGAGCTGGCTCCTGTCAATGGTCTAGATTAGAGCTGGGGTTCTCATCTATTTGCTGCTTTCTAGACTCCACCTATCCTTCTATTATTTTATTATCTCTATTTTCATTTGATGCTGGGCAGCTTCGGTTCCTGTCTAGGTGAATTCTGGAGAAGTAGTTGTTTTCCTCCCCATTTTGTGTTGTTCTAGGAGCATGCTGTTTTTTCAGTCATATGTATTAGGACAATTAATGGACTGGGTTTTGTGTTAAAGTTGGGTGAATAAAATATTTTCCGACTTAGAAATAAAGAGCTCAGCAAATTGAAGTAAATGTTCCCTTCCAGGCAGCTCTGTCTTGCTTCCTGAAAGAGTAGTTTATTTCCAATCAATCATTTATCTAAATGGAGCTCTTGGAAGAGGTTTTACATTAAAGAGTGCTTTACGTTAAAGAAAGAGTATATGCAAGTCTTAATTAGAACTATTTTTATTATTCAGTATTTATTTAAAAGCAATATTGCTTTAGAAATTTTCAGATAGCTAATTAGAAATATCCTTAACTGATCAAAATTCAAGCCAGAATGCCCCTCTAGCAGAGAACAGAGTTAGCACTCTCTTGTGTACCTTTGTCAGGTAATTGAGGAGATTGAGGAAATGATGCAGAACTCCCCAGACCCTGAGGAAGAAGAGGAGGTTCTGGAAGAAGAGGATGGGGGAGAAACCTCCTCCCAGGCAGACTCGGTCCTCCTGCAGGAGATGCAGGCCTTGACACAGACCTTCAACAACAACTGGTCCTATGAAGGTGAGGGCCCTGGGCGCTGGGCTGGCGGAGGAGGAAGCACCTGCTCTGGGCCGGGCTCTGGGCTGTGTGCTTCTACATGGCTAATAGAACCCTGATCACTACCCCAGAGCAGAGCCTTGCATATCTAGGCAGTCAGCAATACCTTTCCTACTTGGCATCTTATCTTCCTACTTGGAGAAGTTTGCATTTTTGAGAAAAAAATAAGGTAGTCAAGCAAAATTTGAATGTTAAAACTAACCAAAGAGCAAGACTATGGCAGAATATGTAAAAGCAATGAATGATGCTACCATAAAATCAATGAAAAAAAAAGGTAATAATAACAGCTTACATTTTTAAAGTGCTTTCTATGTGCCAGACCTTATTCTAAGACTTTTTTTTTCTTTGAGACAGTCTCTGTCTGTTGCCCAGGCTGGAGTGTAGTGGCATGGTCTTGGCTCACTGCAACCTCCACCTCCCAGGTTGAGAAGTGATTCTCAAGCCTGACTCCTGAGTAGCTGGGACTACAGGCACATGGCACCATGCCCTGCTAATTTTTGTATTTTTAGTAGAGATGAGGTTTCACCATGTTGGCCAGGCTGGTCTTGAACTCCTGGCCTCAAATGATCTGCCTGCCTTAGGCTCCCAAAGTGCTGGGATTACAAGTGTGAGCTACTGCACCTGGCCTTATTCTAAGGCTTTCTATACCTAATATTTCATCTTCACACCAACCCCATTAGGATCAAGCTGAGTCTTTCAGAGGTTACATGGCTTGTTCAAGGCCACTGTTAGGGAAATATCATTAGAAATGAGATCTCCTTCCTGTCCAGAAAACCTCTCCACAAAGATAGATGAGAAAAAAAAGCTATTTTATTACTATTTTTATTTTTTAGAGACAGAGTCTTGCTCTGTCACCCAGGCTGGAGTGCAGTGGCATGATCTTGGCTCACTGCAGCCTCTGCCTTCCGGGTTCATGTGATTCTCCTGCCTCAGCCTCCTGAATAGCTGGGATTGGGATTACAGGCACATGGCACCACTCCCAGCTATTTTTTGTTATTTTTAATAGAGACAGGATTTCTCTGTGTTGGCCACGTTGGTCTCAAACTCCTGATCTCAGGTGATCCACCCGCCTCTGCCTCCCGAAGTGCTGGGATTACAGGTGTGAACCACCATGCCGGGCCTAGAAAACTGTCTTATTATTGAATGAGCATTAAACCAGATGGGAGCCACATCACAGACAACTCTCTAAAGAGACTGCAAAGACAAAAATCAGTCTCACTCTTGTGTAGCTAAGTGGATAAATGGAACTCATTACATTGAGTAGGTTTTGCAATTTGGAGTCAGAAGGGAGTTAGGCTCCTCTGCTCAGAACAGTGGGAGATTGAGCATTATCTTCTTTGATGATTATATTTCTTTTTTTCTTTTCTTTTTTTTTCTTGAGACAGAGTCTTGTTCTGTTGCCCAGGCTGAAGTGCAGTGGTGCCACCTCAGTTGACTGCAACCTCTGTCTCCTGGTTTCGAGAAATTCTCCTGCCTCAGCCACCCGAGTAGCTGGGATTACAGGCATGCACCACTATGCCCAGCTAATTTTTGTATTCTTAGTAAAGATGGGGTTTCACCATGTTGGCCAGGCTGGTCTCAAACTCTTGACCTGGTGATCCTCCTGCCTTGACCTCCCAAAGTGCTGGGATTATAAGCGTGAGATACTGAGCCCAGCCTGATGATTATATTTCAAAGCAGTGACTTACAGGCCCTTGAAGAAACTCTCCTGAATTATAAGAAGGGCAAGAGGCTTATTTAGCCATGACAATAATTTAAAATAAATGTAACACACCTTTATTTTAAAGATTTAATTTAAATCTTTGAGAGATTGAAAAGGACAGGTAGAAGAAATTCTGAAAGAAAAGGGAGGTGGGGGAGAAGAAAAGTCTCTTCCCTTATTTTCAACACAAAGAATCAAGCCTCACATTTAAAATTAGTATTTGCCCTTAGACCATGCTCAAGTCATAAGGGGTGAAGCCAAGTAGCTTAACTCCAGGGGCCATCCTCTTAATCCGTGTATCATATTAACTATCTGACACAGGTTTATAGTAATTATGATTGTGCACAAGAAAGGGCTGGATGAAGCATGAAATGAGAAAGTATAACAGCAGGATGCAAAAAAATTCATCAGCCCGTAGGTATTGATGCAGGCGCTGCAGGAGGGGCCCCATCCCCGGAGCAGATCCACCCGTGGGAGGTGGGAACTTAAAAGCAATGGAGAGAGAAGGTGGTTTGGTCAGGGTTCAAAGGTCAACCACAGGTTAGAAGTGGTCAAAAAAATCTGAAGGCCTGCATCCCGCAGTGAGACTTTGGCTCTGAATAGCAGCGGCAGGCAGGAGGTGGCCGCAGAGTCTGCTCAGTGCTGAACTGGACTTGGCTGCCTCTCTGCATTCCCGACTGCTTCAGTCAGGCCTTTCTCAGCCACACAAAGGTCCCAAACATAGACACGTTCAGCAAAAGACTTGCGAAAACAGCTGAAATGCAGAGTGAAATGGCAAAAAAAAAAAAAAAAAAAAAAAAAACAAAAAAAAAAAACAGAAGGGGGAGAGGACAGCTCCAAAGAGCAGAATAAGAATATTTGCCAACCAAGTCAGCAAATATCCAGGCGAAGCAGAAACAAAGAGGAAGAGGAAAATGGATTCTGAGGTGAAAGTGAAGGATACCATTAGACATTGTACATTTAAAAATAACTAAAAGAGTATAACTGGATTGTTTGTGATGCAAAGGATACATGCCTGAGGGAGTGGATACCCCATTCTCCATGATGTGATTATTATGCATTGCATGTCTGTATCAAAACATCTCATGTGCCCATAAACACATCCACCCACTATGCACCCACAAAACTTAAAAATAAAAAATAAATAAATTAATTAATTCTTCTTCTCCCTGCAAAAAGATACCATTAGATGGAGACACATTTTAAAACCTGTTTCCCAAATGTATTGTATTGTATTTTTCAATGTTGATTATTACCTTTTTTTTTTTTTTAAGTAGAGACGGAGTGTCATCATGTTGGCCAGGCTGGTCTCGAACTCCTGACCTCAAGAAATCCACCTGACCTCAAGAAATCCCCTATGCTGGGATTACAGGTCTGAGCCACTGCAGCAGACCTAAAAAATTTTTTTAATGTTTAAAATAACTTTTAATCAGAAAATGCTTAAAATGTATAATGTTTATTTTTATTTTATTTTATTTTAAGACAGTTTCTCTCTTGTTGCCTAGGCTAGAGTGCAATGGTGCAATCTTGGTTCACTGCAACCTCTGCCTCCCAGGTTCAAGCGATTATCCTCCCTCAGCCTCCTGAATTGCTGGAATTATAGGCACGCATCACCACGCCTGGCTAATTTTGTATTTTTAGTAGAGACAGGGTTTTACCATGCTGGTCAGGCTTGTTTCGAATCCTGACCTCAGGTGATCCACCCATCTTAGCCTCTGAAAGTGCTGGGATTACAGACGTGAGCCACCATGCCCAGTCTAAAGTGTATAAAGTTTTAAAGCATAGTTTAGACGTGTATACAAGTATAATCTCAACTATGAAAATGTGTAATATGTAAACAGAAAAATTTGGAATAAAATACCCAAATCTATTTTAAATGAAGAAGTCTTAGGGGACTTTTAAAAGTTAGAGTTGTCTGTTTCCCATGATCTCAGGTTCCCTTTTCTTTTCTCTGAAAGTAGCTGACTGCTGCATGCTGACGAGTGAGGCTTTATTTTTTCATGCATGCTGCCAATCTTCCAGGTTTCACATATTTCTGAATACTTGAGCTGTGACACAGGACCAGAGATGTAAAGAAGGGCTGAGATGGTCGGCTTTTTTTGTGTGTGGGCCATAAGCTATATCTTGATCAGTTATTGGGAATAAGCACATGTCTCTTGCTCTTCAGATGGATGACAAAAACCTCCCTCCCATCACTTTTCCATCCTCATTTCTTGACCCATTTCACACAACGAATCTTATGGAGACAGATGGAAAATAGAAGGAACAAACAGTCTGTCTGTCCATCCCCTTTTTTGTTGACAGAGTCCACAGACTTCCTTGTGGGCTGTATCTTCTTCCTCCTTTGTTTCCTGAGAGAGGTGTTCTCTTCTGTAGTCAGTACACAGGCCCCTCCCTTCCCAGCATGCCCCTAAATTGTGAAGGTCTTTCTTGGATCTTTAAGGAGTTGGAAGGGGTCTCCTCCGCAGGGCAGTCCCATCTTGAGTGGTGGTGGCCTCAGGAGCCTCTCCAGCATGCTCTGGTATGGATGCAGGTGTTATCTGCAGGTCGGTCTTCCCCTGCAGGGCTGAGGCACATGTCTGGGTCTGAGCTAACCGAGCTGCTGGACCAGGTGGAGGGTGCCATCCGTGACTTCTCGGAGGAGCTGGTGCAGCAGCTGGCTCGTCGGGATGAGCTGGAGTTTGAGAAGGAAGTGAAGAACTCCTTTATCACGGTGCTTATTGAGGTTCAGAACAAGCAGAAGGAGCAGCGAGAACTGATGAAAAAGAGGCGGAAAGAGAAAGGGCTGAGCCTGCAGAGCAGCCGGATAGAAAAGGGAAACCAGATGCCTCTCAAGGTATGTGAACAACAAGCAGAAGACTGGGTGCCTCCAACCTCGAACTCTGTTTCAGTGCCCTACCAACCCTGCAGGGGAATCAACCACGTTTACTGAGCAGCGGTGGTGAGCAGCACACTGTGACAGACAGGGGGTCAGAAAGGGGGACGATATACCTGTCTCCTCCACTCCCCCATAGGGCTCACGTGTAACCCGGGGAGTCAGCATGCAAACATTGGGAAATAATTGAATTCGGCTTGTGTTGTCTGTAGGCAAGACCTTAGAGACAGTGGGGTGAGGGCATTTTGTGTTGGGAGTCCTGAGATGGCCCTCAGGACTCTGGATCCAAATCCCTCCTCATGTCCCAGGTTCTTGTTCTGACTGGTCTCTTTAGGGTGTGCTAGGGTGTTTCAGTGATTGAAAATGATCAGACACCTTATCGTTTTCTTTTTTTGAGACAGAGTCTCGCTTTTTCACCAAGGCTGGAATGCAGTGGTGCGATCTCAGCTCACTGCAACCTCCGCCTCCTGGGTTCAAGCAATTCTCTTGTCTCAGCCTCCATAGTAGCTGGGACTACAGGTTCATGCTACCACACCCACATAATTTTTGTATTTTTAGTAGAGATGGGTTTCACCATGTTGGCCAGGCTGGTCTTGAACTCCTGACCTCAGTTGATTTGCCCATCTTGGCCTCCTAAAGTGTTGGGATTAAGGGCATGAACCACCACACCTGGCCGCAGCTCCAAACCCATGGTTCTTTTTCTTTTTTTTTGAGGTGGAATCTTGCTCTGTTGTTCAGGCTGGAGTGCAGTGGCACTATCTCAGCTCACTGCAACCTCCACCTCCCAGGATCAAGCAATTCTCCTGCCTCAGCCTCCTGAGTAGCTGGGATTACAGGCGCCTACTACCATGCCAAGCTAATTTTTGTATTTTTAGTAGAGACAGGGTTTCATCATGTTGGTCAGGCTGGTCTCAAACTCCTGACCTTGTGATCCGCCTGCCTTGGCCTCCCAAAGTGCTGGGATTACAGGTGTGAGCCACTGCGCCTAGCCACCCGTGGTTCTAAATCAGGGGAGCTCAGTAGAATTATCTAAGGAGCTTTTTCAAAATGCCTTTCCCTAGGCTCTCTCACAGACCTATGGAATTAGGCCTCCACATGTACATTTTGAAAAAACCTTCTCAGATCAGGACAGCTTCTTTAAGACAGCCTTTTCTGATAGCTGAACATTTTGTTTTCCTCTGTCTTTGCATCATGGTTCATCTGAGTTTGACTGAACTGCTTTAGTTTTCTGTTTGCATGGTAGAGGATAAAAGGAGGAAAATTGGGGGATGCAGAGGGGTGTTGTGGCCCTGAGGGACTTACTAAAATAAGAGTTTTTGAGACTCTATTTCTTCTTGCAAAGTTCAGGCTTCAATTCTAGCCTGTCTCCGTATGCCAACATCTTACACTTACTGTCTAGTCACAGAACCCTGGGGTGTTGTCTGGGACAGCCTGGTAGCTGAGTGGCCCCTGGGTCTGGTGACGATGGAGCAGGAAGCATTTGCCCTTCTTGAGTGTCTCTCTTCCCCCCAGCGCTTCAGCATGGAAGGTATCTCCAACATTCTGCAGAGTGGCATCCGCCAGACCTTTGGCTCCTCAGGAACTGACAAACAGGTACGAGCAGTCTCCCTGCTCCCAGCTTTCTTCCTAGACTCCCGCAGCTCGGCCTCCCCAACAACTCAAGGGGACAGTGACTCACCAGAATTATCCCAGCCTTTATTTAAGAGGGTAGGGATCCTAACACTTGCTTTTCCTCTTAAGGAGGAACAGAATATCTTTTTTAAACGTGCATCTTTTTTTTGAGCCCTGGCGTTCCAGAACATAGACAAGACTTACAACTCAACACTGCTTGTAGGTCTACGACTTAAGTTGTTTTAAGGATGAAATGTATTAAAAGGGAGCCCCTTTGATGATAGATCCTCTCCTAGAGTTTAATTAGCTTCCCAGCACACTGGACCACCAGCCGAGCCTTTCCCACTAAGACAGCCTCTGCAGCAGCCAGCTCTGGTTGTAACCCATGCCGCGGCTTTTGGTTGGCTCAGTAATTTTGCTGTGAAGTAGCTTGCATTTCTGGTTATTAAGACAGCATTCACAACTTCTATCAAGTGCCTGTTATGTGCTAAGCTCTGTTGTTAGGCCCTCAGGTGCAAAGGTGAAGAGTCCTGATCCCTGCCCTCATGGAGTGTATAATCTAATAGACATGGCTGTCATGTGAACAGACAAGTTTGAGATGATGGCATAACTGCACATGAAAGTATATATGTTTTAAACATATTTGTAGCTGAATTCTAAGTGCTAGAATTCTAGAACTGCATCAGGGAAAGAGATTTTCGCAGCATCTAACCCAGTCCTCTTGTTTTATGGCAGTGATAACTATGGCCTGGAGATCCAAGGTGTTTTTCCAAAGCCACATACACTGCCAGTGGCAGAGCCGAGACTAAAATGTGAACTTCTGGCCGGGTGCGGTGGGTCACGCCTGTCATCCCAGCACTTGGGAGGCTGAGGCAGGTGGATCACCTGAGGTCAGGAGTTCAAGACCAGCCTGCCCAACATGATGAAACCCTGTCACTACTAAAAATACAAAAACTAGCCAGGCATGGTGGCAGGTGCCTGTAATCCCAGCTACTTGGGAGGCTGAGGCAGGAGGTGGAGGTTGGAGTAAGCTGAAATCATGACACTTCACTCCAGCCTGATGACAGAGCAAGACTCCATCTCGAAAAAAAAAAAAAAAGTGAGCTTCTTAGCTTTTGTCTAGAGCTCTGGCACTCACCATCTCAGGCTTCTTGGAACTCCTTTGAGATAGCCCATAGGCCCTGATGCTTGTTTTGTTTTAGGAGCAACTGATATCCAGCAGAGGGAGCAAATCTGACCTCAGAGACCCTGGGCGGGGTTGAGGTTCTCTTGCCTATCTTTTTTGACAAAAGAGAAATAATTCCTTCTCAAATTGCCCTGCAAAGAATAAGAAAATATAATCCCCTTGGAGATATTCTCTGCTGTCAGTCTGAAGGTGAAAAAGCTCCCTAGGATTCCTAAATAACAGAAAAGTTTGTAGTGTGGGAAGAATCTAGAAGTTGGGATGGAGAGTTTTCCTGGCTAAATGTAGGAAAGTCTTACTTTCAAAGAGACATCCTCTAAAGATGAGAAAGAAGTTCTGAAACAGTGATGCGCCAGTGTCTATAAGCATTTCAAAGAAGGTCAGATTTGCGGTGTGTATCTTAAAGAAAGGCTAAATCTCAACACAGAGGAACCTTGTCTTCTGCCTCAAGCCCCCTGTCTGCTGTTTGTCTTGCAGTATCTGAACACAGTCATTCCTTACGAGAAGAAAGCCTCTCCTCCGTCGGTGGAAGACCTGCAGATGCTGACAAACAGTGAGTTCCTCTTGTTCTCAGCCAGATCAGCAGCTTCTTTTTCTCCCTTTTTGCCTGTATGTTGTACCTCCGGTGCTGCAGGCCCAGGACTCCTCAAGGCAGGTTTAGATGGGCCAAAATAACCTCCAAGTGACTGCGTCACATCCTCCTGCACAGTGTAAAATTAAAACACTCTGCAGTGATAACCAAAGCTGTCTTTTCTTTCCCCTGTTTCCTGTAAGGGAAGAGACCTGCTGGGAAAAAGAAATGAGCTGGTGAAAAAGGTTGGGGTGTTGGGTGGGGGGTGCTGGTGCAGGGGACTTTTTCGCCCCCACCCCCTGCAGTTCTCAAGGCTTGGCATCCTCTGCCCCCCTGTTTTCTCTCTCCCTACAAATTGAGGTTGTCTGGTAGGCCCTTGTGCCCCTTGAAGCAGGGTACCCAGTCTGTGGGTCTGGCTGCATTTTCAATGAGAAGCGAAGCTTCTTGTTGGGTGGGGTAAGGCTGACTGGAAAAAATACAGTCTAACTTTCCTTCCAGGAAGTGACTGCCTCCTCTCCTCCACTTTGGTTCTATTGTCAAATATTAATAAACATTTTGAGTTGCGAGGGAAGACTGTGTGTAATAAAGAACCTTTTGTAGATAATAACTGTTTATATACATCAAACAGTATGACCCCCAAAGGGCTGGGGGGCACATTGCATTAGCCATCATGTCAGTTTGGCCCTCTTAGGAAGAGAAAAATCCTAGGCTGAGATGTGGTGACAGGCCCAGAAGATCACGAGGGAAATTCCATTTCTCTGGCAACCCGAAACCGTGCTCTGCAGAGTGACAGCTAAGGAGGCCCCACCCACTGCAGCCTGCTCTGGAGGGAGTAGGCGAGTTTGGGGCTACTGGATAACCCAGGGGAAGGGAAGCTGAGCTTCTGTTCAGCTCAGCAGGATGGATACTTGCTGAGCCCTGGTACTGAAGGTGGTCAAAAGTTCCGTTTTTGTTTTTTTTTTTAAATCAATTTGGAGAACTAAAGCAGGAGGTTCTGGCAAATGGAAATCCTGCCTACATCAATAGACACTGTGCCCTTGAGAATCAGGAATTTTAAATTCAAAATACAGTGACTTGTTCTTAACTCATTGTAAACTCCTTTATTTGCATAAATGGGCACTAAGATTTTTTTTTTTAAGGGAGAAAATAGAGATGAACTGACGTTTATAAGTGTTTTGTTTTCACACAAGTAGCATTTGGAAAGTAATTTGGACAAATTATGAAGGTTGATAGAAGTGTTCTATCACAGCTCAAAAAAAATAGCTATTAATTTTTTGCAGATACCTCTTCAGTATTCAGTGTGAAATCCTTTCATTTTAATTAATTCTGAGTGGTTTTGTTTGCATTTTTCAAGTTCCTTTAAAAATTATAGCTATAGTGTATCCATCATTTAGACTACTTTGGAAATATGGAAAAGCAAAGGAAGAAAAATAAGTAACTTCTGGTCCACTATGGTTACTATTTTGGTGTTTTTTAGACACAATATTTTGTATATTTTCTATATAATTGAGATCATACTGGCTATAAAATTTTGTATCATGATTTTACTCACATTAGTTAACATTTTATTAATGTTCTTTTTATGGCTGTCTCTTCTATCATGTGGATATACTATGTTCCAACATTTTATTGCTTTTAGAAGAAAAACTGCCACCTTTTCTGAATACCAATTCTCCTGTAGGTTCTGAAGTCTCTGTTCTGGCAGATCCTCATGTGAATTTGTGAACAATGTCTCTTCTCTCTCCTACTCTTTGAACTAAGTACATAGGCCAAAGACCAGCTCCTGTGACTAGACAATCCTTGTAAATTTTAGATTTTGGAGATTAATTTAGATACACATTGGCAAGTGCAATTATTGTATTTTTACATACTCTTTGTGACATGGCATTTAGTCTGCTTATGATCAGTTGCAGAGTATTCTAGACAACTAAGTTGAGATGAAAGCATGTCTAAAAATGCAGAAAAAAATAAAACAGGCTGGGTGCAGTGGTTCATGCCTGTAATCCCAGCACTTTTGGAAGCCGAGGTGGGTGGATCGCCTGAGATCAGGAGTTCGAGACCAGCCTGGCCAACATGGTGAAAGTAGAGATGGCTCTACTAAAAATACAAAAAATTACCTGGGCATGGTGATGGGTTTCTGTAATCGCAGCTACTCGGGAGTCTGAGGCAGGAGGATAGCTTGAACCCGGGAGGCAGAGGTTGCAGTGAGCCGAGATCACACCATTGCACTCCAGCCTGGGCGACAAGAGTGAAACTCTGTCTCAAAAAAAAAAAAAAAAAAAGGAAGGAAGGAAGGAAGGAAGGAAGGAAGGAACGAAGGCAGGAAGGAAGGAAAGAAGGAAGGGAGGGAGGGAGGGAGGGAGGGAGGGAAGGAAGAAACAGGAGAAACCAGGACCTGCCCCTCCCAGAATCCAGCTAAGTTGAGAGATAAATACATGTCTAAAGATACAGAAGAAATAACACAGAAACAAACCAGCCCGTCAATGGTCTCAGGTTGGGTCTCTTTCAGGACCTGGCTACTGACTCACGACACCATTGGACTTTCTTCCGCAGTCACTCCTAACTCTTGCATTCAAGTTTCATTATCCTGCCTTGAAACTAGGCAGGTTAATCAATGGAGGCTGTAGTGAGCTGAAAACATGCCACTGCACTTCAGTCCTGAGTGACAGGGTGAGATCCTGTCTCAAAAAGAAAAAAAGAGGAAAGTCACCAATAGGTCCGCTACCTAGAGGCAAACACTGTGGCTCATTTGCTGTGTTCTCCTCCAGCACCATGTTGAATGCTGACTCTCTTATTTATTTATTTAGTTTAACTTTTATTTTAGAATAAGGGGGTGCATATGCAGGTTTGCTACAGGGTGTATTACATGATACCTCTCAAATAGTTGGGACTACGGGCATGTGCCACTGTGCCACCACGTCCAGCTATTTTTTTTTAATTATTAGAAATGAGATTCTGCCATGTTGCCTAGGCTGGTCTTGAACTCCTGGACTCAAGGTCTGAGACATGACTGAACCTAAACCTGTCATCCAGGTATAGCGAACATAGTAACCAGTAGGTAGTTTTTTAGCCCTTGCCCCCAAAATTCTAACCCTTGACAGAGGCTTCTAGACTTTTGCTCAATAATCAGTAAATATCTGGTTCCCTTGAATCACATGCCTGGTTCCCTCTCTCACTCTGGGCTGGTGGGTCGTGTGACCCTATAAGTGAGCCTCATGACCAGATGGTATCTTAGCTCCTCTCTCTCTCCTTTCCTAGTTCTCTTTGCCATGAAGGAGGATAATGAGAAGGTGCCTACTTTGCTAACGGACTACATTTTAAAAGGTAAGAGCAGCCCTTCTCCTGGAGCAGAAAGGGTATTCTGGGGCTCCTGCTCTAGTTAGGGAAGCTTCCCAACTTCCACGCCAGACCAGACCAGACAGGGGCCAGGGAAATCAGGGACAATAGTGAGGCTTTGCAGTAATAGGTTTCGCCTTTGGGTGTTGCCATGAGGCTGAAGGAGGAAATTCCATCACCCCCGTCACCAGAGTGACTTTCCATGGAGCAGCAAACCAACAAAGGACTTTTTGTGAAAATTCTGTGGAGTTTGGGCTACTTAGTTTTAGTTGGGAAAAACAAAGCCTGATGATAATTTAATACTTTTCGAGCACTTGAAACTGGAGGTGTGACTAACTAAATCTTTTCATAACTTTTTAACCTTTTATTATGAAAACCGGTGGCACATCCAAGAGTAGAGGGAATGGCATAATACACTCTCAGGTACTGATTATCTGGCATCCACAGTTACTAAGTCCTGGCCAGGCTTATTTCATTTATGCCTCTACCCAAATTCTCCCCTCCCCTGTTATTTTGAAGCAAATCTGTCATACATTTTCATTCATAACTATTTCAGTATGCATTTCTAAAACATAGGAACTCTTGAGGAAAACATAGCCACAATACCATTTCACAACAAAAAAATTAAGAGGTTTTTTTTTTGAGACAGTTTTGCTCTGTCACCTAGGCTGGAGTGCAATGGCATGATCTCGGCTCACTGCAACCTTTGTCTCCCAGGTTCAAGCAGTTCTCCTGCCTCAGCCTCCTAAGGAGCTGGGATTACAGGTGCCCACCACCATGCCTGGCTAATTTTTGGACTCTTAGTAGAGACAGGGTTTCACCATGTTGGGCAGGCTGGTCTCGAACTCCTGACTCAGGTGATTCACCAGCCTCAGCCTCCCAAAGTGCTGGAATTACAGGCATGAACCACCGCACCCAGCCAAAAGTTTCTTATTACTGACTATGCAATCAGTATTCAGATTTCCCTGTTTTTCCCATAAAATATTTTTCAGTTTATTTGTTTGAATCAGGGGCCAATGAAAATCCGTATGTTGCAATTAGAAATAATGTTATGTACATCTCTTTGATACGTATAGGTTTCTCTTTCCTTTCTCTCTTCCATTTCTTGAAATGCGTTTGTTGGAGAAACTAGGTTGTTTGTGCCATAGAATTTCCGCCTTGTGGATTTTTACTAATTTCATCCCCATGGTATAATTTTATATGTTGTCCTGTCTTCTTTATTGCCTGTGAACTGATAGAACTAGAGGCCTGATCAGATTCAGCTTCAGCTTCAGATTTTTTGATAAGCACTACATTATAGGTGGTTATAGGTTTTCAGACTTCCATGGGGTGACATATATTGTCTGATTGTCTTTCCTTTTGTGATGTTAATAGCCATTGAGGATTGCTCATTGTCTAGATCCATTATTTGATTAGTTTTTGCCCGCATGCACACAAAACTATGTACCGTTGCAGAGGGACCATATTTGTAAGACCTACAGTTAAGAAACCCTGAGCTATATTGTTTCAATAAGGATCAGAAGGACTAATCTTAAATTTCAGCAGGAGGAAGTTAAACATTGAAAAGAACTTGCTCAGCCTGGGCAATGTGGTGAGACCTTGTCTCAATTAAAAAACAAAAAAGTCAGCCAGGTGTGGTGGTGTGCGACAGTAGTCCCAGCTACTCAGGAGGCTGAGGTGGGAGGATCACTTGAACCCAGGAAGCTGGGACCGCAGTGGGCTGTGATCACACCACTGCACTCCAGCCTGGGTGACACAGCAAGTCCCTGTCTCAAAAACACAAAAAACATAAAAAGGATCTGTGACTCAAAGATTTTAAAAGAGCGGCATATTTCTCAAAGGAGGTTCTCAAAGGAGGATGATAGAAATGGATTCTATAAATTTGGTAGCCTGAGGGCTAGAGTTTACCCCTCATGATCTACTGAAATGCCAATGAATTTATACAAGTAATCAATATTTACTAAGCACTTTCCACATGCCTCTCAACAATCCCGTGGGGTAGGCGCAGGTATGTTCTATTGTACTGATGAAGAAACAAGCATGGAAAGGTGAAGTTAATTTTCCTAAGGTCATGTAGTTAGTAATGGCCGGATCCAGGATTTGAACTCAGGCCCTGGAGACTACATGCTTAGTCATTATACCCATCAACCACTTGGCATTGTCTCTCCTTTGTTCTAGGCTCTAAGTGGGGCTGTCCACCACTCAGGAGCTTGTGTGACTGCTCTAAGCTAGTGCTATCCTGGGCTGGGAGGTCCCGACCTGCAACAGTGTTCTGACCACTCTCCCCTCCTTTCTTCTCATTCCAGTGCTCTGCCCTACCTAACCTTGCCCTTTGGAGCAGCCTTGCTGCAGGAGGTCACTGAGCAAGAGTCATTCCATCACAGGGACTGCATGACACCACGTAACCTCCGACGTGTATTTAAACGTGTATAGCTTAACCTGGATTAAACATGAGCAAGCGTGCGGGGTCCTTTGCCGTTGGCTTCTAGTGCTAGTAATCATTGGATGCATGATGGGGCAGGGCCGGTGATGGTGCCTCCTCCTTGCCAGTGTTGGGAGAGGGAAAGGCAGCCACTTTCACCGCTCATTATGTAGTCTGGCTCCAGCCCACCAAAACAGCTTATACTCTAAGACTAATTTTGAAATAAAACTTTCATTTAATTAATATCCTTCATGTGCTTTGGAGTGTGGTGTCCATTAGCTCTCTGCTCCAGACACTCGGTGTTCTTCACATGCCGGCCTGTGGCCTGTGGCAGCCAGCACTGTGTTTAGGGACTGGGCGCATGCCCTGTTTGTGGGTTGTGGTGGGCTCATGGGACACAGTGGCACTGCATATGGTATAGGCTGAAGGAGATCCTTCACGACCTCAGTTTTTGCTGCTCAGCCACATTCAAGAGAGCCGCACTAGGGGCTGCAGAAAGGAGCTGGTCAAAGGGGGTGTAAGACCAGGGTGAGAGTGTGTGTGCACCTGGCAGATAGAAAGTGGGCCTCACAGAGGAGCCACACAGCTGCAAACCTCCAGGTGGGATGGCCAGGCTGGCCCTGGAGACCCTTCCCTGGCCCTCCATGGGGACCTGGAGGCTCAGGGCCTGCAGGGAGTCAGCTCTGCTGAGCTTTCCCAGTGTGGGGGACTGCAACTTGTTTCCTGCCCTTGACCAGGCCACCACTCCCTGTTTGTCCCCAATGACCCCTGGCAACTGTGTCCTTTGACTTTGCAGTGCCCTCCTTGGCCCTTCCTGCAGCTCTCCATGTCTCCTTGCACTTTCTCCAGCATCAACCGCAGGCAGCTGCCAGCCTTGACCAACCAGCAGGCAAAGGCCGTCCTTGTGTCCTGGATGCTGGCTCAATCTCACCACAATCTGAATTCTGTTGGCTTCCACCTTTTGACTTGAAAGACATTAAGCCTGCCAATTCCTATATCCTCCTCTGAAAACAGAAAACGTGTACTGGGCACTTGCTATGGCCTGCAATGGCTTCATTACGCAGTAGCACACATCACAGCACCGCCACGTGTAAACAGGTGCTGGTATGATCCTGATTTTGCAGAGGTGGAAACCAAGCAGCAGAGATGTTCAGAAGCTGGCCCGAGGCCATGTAGGAAGTGGTAGAGTCAGACTGGCATTTAGGCTTCTTATCCAGTGAGACCTCCATTGATTCCTAGGAGTTTAGTGTCTGCTTGAACTGAGCATGTGCAGGGAAAGCCATACTTTATCACATCCACAGCTCCACAGAAGGCCACGGAATCCATCTAGGAGACACAGAAGGCACTCCCAGTGCCCTGCCTCCCTTCCTGGGCCTCTGCTTTTCTAGAAGCAGAACACTAGCAATGTTAGCTTGACGTGACAGGGACTTATCCACCAGGACAGCTGCTGCAATGCCTGAAGCTGTAATCCAGGCATCCGCACAGAGCAGAGCTTCTCCATAGACAGAGCCCTGGCTGCTGTAGGAGCATGGAAGTGACTGTTAGTCCTGTGACAAAAGGGCATGGGTTCAGTGCTGCAGTTCACCGATGCTAAGGTGAAACATGCTAAGGGTCACTGGTGGTGTGAGGTCATTTGCAAGTTTAGCATTCTGCGGGTGATGGGGTTTTCACCGGCCTCAGCAAAGGGGAAGCAGCGAATTCCCGAGAACTTTTCTTCCTGCCTCAGATTTGTCAGATCTGGGTCAGCCACTCCTTTCCCCCAATTTATCCTGCCAGCAGGTGTCTGAAGCAGCAGAGACAAGCTAATCAAAGCTGCTGGCAGTTAAAAATAAATCTTGAGTGTCAGGGATACACTCAGGCTAGGAGGAGGTGAGTAGGGCAGGCTGAGAACAGTGGCTCCTCTTTTCTCTCTCGCTGTGTCTGGAGTTTAAGGGGGAAATGAAATCAGTTCCTCACAGTTTTGCATTGCCCTTCCCTGTGTTATTTCTACTCAAACCATGGTTTCCAGACCAGCAGCACTGACCACGCTTAGAAATGTGTTAGAAATGCAAAGTCTCAGGCCCCACCCCAGACCTACCGAGTCAGAATTTGCATTTTAACAAGGTCTCCCTTTAAAAGGGAGGCAGCTCTTCTCCTAAAAGGAGCCTGGGTTTGTGCCTTGAGTTCAAATGCAGCTCTACTACATACTAAATCTTCTTGCAATTGGTATTTGCATCAAGGATTGGAGAAGCTCTGCTCTAGGTTTTCAGAGTTACCGAAGCCTTGACTCTTCAGTACTGAACCTAGGGAGTTTGTGGATAGGTGAACCCAATTGTCTTTCTTTGGCTTTTCCCTCTTCTGGATTGCAGAAACCTCAGGGAAGAGTCCCAAGAATGAACAGATTTTCAGGCCCCAGTGAGTCTTGATTGCAAAACTCAAGTCCCGTCTAGGATGTGTGCACTCAGCAAACTGTATCTGAGAGCCGAGGTCTGCAGGGAGCCCTCTGGGTAGGTCAGAGGTCTGCCTGGCAAATACAGCCTATAAATGAAGTATGTTCCCATGAATTAAAGGATTTTGCTAGGCCTAGTCTGGTCAAGTTCTGTAGCAAAACTCCACCATAGGGCCGGGTGCAGTGGCTCACCCTTCTAATCCCAGCACTTTGGGAGGCTGATACGGGCAGATCATCTGAGGTGAGGAGTTTGAGACCAGCCTGGCCAACATGGTGAAACTCCATCTCTACTAAAAATACAAAAAATTAGCTGGCTGTGGTGGTGCATGCCTGTAGTCCTGGCTGCTCAGGAGACTGAGGCAAAAGAATCTCTTGAACCCAGGAGATGGAGACTGCAGTGAGGTATTATTGTGCCACAGCACTCCAGCCTGGGCGACAGAACGAGACTCCATCTCACCATGGAGCCAGAGACCAGCCTTTATATTTATTTATTTATTTATTTTGAGATGGAGTTTCACTCTTGTCGCCCAGGCTGGAGTGCAATGGCACGATCTTGGCTCATTGCAACCTCTGCCTCTCATGTTCAAGCAATTCTCCTGCCACAGCCTCCTGAGTAGCTGAGGTTACAGGTGCCCACCACCACACCTGGCTAATTTTTTTGTATTTTTAGTAGAGATGAGGTTTCCCCATGTTGCCCAGGCTGGTCTTGAACTCTTGACCTCAGGTGATCTGCCCACCTCGGCCTCCGAACGTGCTGGGATTACAGGAGTGAGCCACTGTGCCCGGCCAGAGGCCAGCCTTTATTTGTGTGTAACTGAAACAAATGATCTTGCGGGAAAACTCTTTTTCAACATTTCTCTCTAACTTTTCATCTCTACTTCAGGAGACCAATGTGATACTTCAGAAAGAAAACCCAAAGGGAGCATTTTGTGAACCTAAGTTTGTGGGACAAATTGAATTTTTAATAAATAAACCCTTTTCATATTCACTGGACTAATGTCTGGAGAATGACTATCTCCCACTGGTGGTCAGGGAAGAAGGAATGGAGACTGCTAAAGAGAAGACCTGGTCCTCCTGGTGTCTCATTTATCCTCATTAAACCCTGCTTAGTGGTAGTCCAGGGAGCCCTGGTACTTGCTGATTTTGGAACTAGCGGCCTCCATGTCTTAATGGACTTCACCGAGTCCATGCCCATGCCTCTTTCGAGCACCCACTATGTCCCAGCACTTCCACAACAGCCTGGTCACTGAGAGCTTTAGGGGTCTTACCAGAGGTCAAAGGCAAAAAGCACCCCAGGATGCTCAGCTTTCTGTGCAGCAGAAGTAAGAAATGGGGAGTGGCAGCCTCGTTTCCAGGGAAGCCAGGAGAGGTGACTCTCATCACCCAGTCAGCCTCCGTAATTCGTATGCGTAGTGAGGAGAGTAATTAAATGCTACACTTGGAGAAGAGATACTTGCATTCTTGATGGCGCCTGATTATTTATATCCCTGAGAGGATGAGAGAATGGTCGTTAGGGTTTCTGTCTCTCTGAGTCTGAGGTTTGCTCTCCTCAGCTTCATCAGAGAAAGGAAGCCGAGGCCATTCTGCTCGCTGGGGAGGTGTTTTGGCTTCCTTCTAATGCCTTTCTTCTAAAAGAACAATGAGCCACCTTAGCCCACAGCCCAGCAGCTCTGGACCCCGCCCAAACTCTCATGCATATTCATCCTGCTTCAAAGAGCACAGCATGGAATATGCAAATTAGCCAGGCAGGAGCTGGTTGGCATTTTGATAATAGCTTTGTCTGAAAACCCCCAGAGACACATGCACATGTAATTTCTCTCTTTCTCCCTTTCTCTTTTCTCTACCCCTGTGTCCTGCTCCTCTCTTTCATTCCTAGCCTCCCAGAGAGCAGGAAAATGAATCACCAAACCAAAGAAGCAAGTTATGGAGAAGCCCGGTATCTCTACGCCAGTCCAGTGTGTTTCCACTCCTGCCTCTCTCCTCTCTGCTCCTTGAACAGGGTCATTTTGTTTTTTCTTACCAAAGTGTTGCCTGATCTGACAACACCTCAGGGTCTCCCGGCTTGTCCTCTTCTCTCCATTGACTCCCCCAGCTCCTGCCTCTCTCCTGGGGATTAACTTCCTTCCCTTTGTTTTTCTTCCTCGTCTTCCTGAACCCCCTGGCTAGCTTCCTGACCCCCTCCCATAGCAGAGCTACTTGAATAGTACAAAGAGCAATTTCTTAAGATCAGAGGATGTGAGTCCTGCTCCTTCTCCCCAAAATGTAGATGGAGCTGGTGGGCAACAGGGTCAACGGTCTGCTGTGGGAGAAGCAGGCTGGGGTTTGAAGCACACATCTTTGGATGCTGTTTCATCTGGGACCGTGGAGAAGGGTATAGGCAGGTGCAGGGATGCAGGAACCTCTTGGGATTTGAGGACAGAGGGGCCTCTCTGACTCCAGAGACCAGCCTGGGTCAGCCAAGGATTCGGGAGGCAGCTTATCTCCTAAAAGGAGCATGGGTTTTGTGCCTTGAGTTCAAATCCAGCTCTAGATACGTATTAAGCTAAATAAGTTTTTAGAAAATTACTTAATTTCTCTGAGCCTTGGTTTCCTCATTTTAAAAAATGGGAATACTAATATTAGTGATAATACTAGTAATTCTCCCACAGTTGTTTTAAATAATCTTGAGTGTCTAGCAGATATTCTAAGTGCTCAATGAAGCATGACTTTTATTTTTTCTAGTAAACTTCAAAAACCATAGAGAAAGGGCTGGTTCTGTGGCCTCTTTAGCCTTGGGGATGTGACCATTTTTTCAATCCAACAGGCACAAAAGACC